TCACATAAGGTATACCAAATTATGCTATAAATGGATAAATGGATGATATTGTCTGATGTTGCTGGTTAACGGTTTTAACGATATTTGTTCATTATGTTTACTTACAAAGTGCAAACTACTACCTACCAGCACACCAGTAGGAAAAATATTTAATCTTTTAGCTGAATTCTTTCATCAAATGAAATAATGTTAGAAAACTGTTTAGGTATCTGTACTGATGGTACAAAAGGAATGACAGATCACAGTATGGGAGCCAGTGATAAAATTAAAGATAAGGAAAAGAAATGTAACAGCAACCACTGGATTCTCTTCAGATACACACTGAAGTAAGATGGTTCCCTCAAGGAAAGACATTGACATGTTTGGTAGAACTGCATGCAGATATAGTAGCATTTTTGATAGACAGTTTTGGTTACAGTTTTAAATAACGAAGTCTGGTTATGTAAACTGACATATTTGACCAATACTTTTAGCAAAATGAATCTATCATTGCAAAGAAAAAAATGCCACAGTTTCTGAAGCAAATACCAAAGTATCTTCATTTAAGAGGAAACTTAAGTATTGTATAGAAAATAAAGATAGATAGGGCATGAAAAAGGAGGATATCGATTGCTTTCCTTTTACCAAAAGCTTATGAAAATAATATCAGGATTCAAGAAAAAAATTAAAAAAAAATATTCAGGTGCATCTTGAAGCTTTGATAGACTTGTGTGAATACTATTTTCAATAGCTGAAGAAAATGTACTCGATGATTTCAAATGGGGTCGATGTGTTCAGCATAACCCCCACCAATATATATATATATAATTCAATCTGATGCGAGGCTCTTACAGAATTGACATTTTTCATCAAATTAAAAGTTGCTTTCAAAACTGAAGTCTCTTCGAAATTTAGCTTCATTTTTTAGATGAATTCAAAATGTTGTCTGAGAAAGCAAAATTAGTATTGCTGGTTTTGTGCAGTTGTTTAGATATTTCTTTTGTACATTCCTTTACTATCGATCTGGTTCTTCCTTCGTTACACTACATCTGAACACTATTAAGTTGTAACACATGAAGTAGGCCTAAAGGACTTCACAATAGCTGTTGATTCGAAAAGGGGCTACACAAGTCAAAATGTTTGGGAACCGCTGCCTTGAAATAAATTAGGCTTTCTAATTCATACTTCCATATAACCATTTGTGGGCATTTTTAGAAACTGATGATTCATATTACTGATTCGTAATTTACTAAACCTGAATATCAAAATTTTTTTACGGTATGTTGATTTCCATTTAAAAAATATTGTATTAAACTATAGGAAGGAAGTGCTACTCAATCCCTCTAGTACATAGTATGCTATGTCTTATACAATCAAAAGTCTTTAATCCAGACATCCATAATCCGCAATGATCTATAATCCGGACCTCAAAGCTACAAACTTTCTGAGCATGCGTCAATGCATATTGCGTTAACGCATGCACATATGCATCTACTCATGCGCACGTTTATACATGCACGTTTAATGTATAACAGATGGTATAAGCTAAGCTAAAATTATCTAGTTATCTATTTCAGTTAATGTTGCAGACTGCGTTGTTCCTTAATCTTCTAATTGGTTCCGGCTTATTATTTTTTGCAGACCATTAGAGCAATTTTATAAAAGTACGCGTGAACTTTCGATTATGTCAAAAAGAATTTCCGATTCAGGAGCTACCAAAAGGATCTACAGAGCGAAAGCATGTTTTCGATGTCCATCAAACAAAAAGTGGAATTGCTGCAAAAAAGGGAAAAAGGCATATCTTATGATTCTCTAATCATTCCGAAATATGTTTATCAATTTCACGCTGTTCTGAGGGGTGGGGGACGACGCGGCGCGCAATGAACTGTATGAATTCATCTTGATGTAGTCTGTCTTTGATATGATTTAAATCAAATTCCTCGTCATTATAAATATCACGAATACACATCAAATAGTTTTCTGGTTTCAATTTTCTAATTTCAAGTATGCGTAATGTATGCTTTACGCATGCGCGCGTTGAAAGAAATGTTTAATAAAGTAAACAAATAAATATAAAGCTTTTTTTTTTTTTTTTTTTTTTTTTTTTGTAAATTTTGATACCCTTTAGATCATAATTGTTCTTTATTTCATAAATTACGGTTTCATATTTTTAATTTTATAATTTCTGCATGCCATCTTACCAGATTTAAACTGATGATCTATAATCTGGAAAAACCGATAATCTGGAATCGTCAAAGTCCCGAGGAGTCCAGATTAAAGACTTTTGACTGTACTACAGTTTTAAATGAACAAAATAATCAACACAACTAACAAAATAATCTTAAACAAGAGAAAAACCTAAAGTCAAATTTAAAAACTAAGATATAAAACCCATGTACATTGTATGATCAAGAACCATACATCTAGTTGATAAAAATAAAAAAGAACACTTTAGAAATAATTATTTAAGATAGTGATATATTTTCTGGTATACTTAGGCTACTGTACACTACTGAATGAACATTGTTTTTGGAGTAGAAATTTTTCTAGTTTGGAATGGCTTTATTAGGAATATGTATAGAATAGAATTAAATAATATATTTATTTATGGAGCAGTTAAGCATCTGAAACAATCTGATAAATTATTTAATATAACACTACTTCATGAAATTTTTGTGAAAACATTCAGCTAGAGCAGTGTTTCTCAACTGGATTTACTCCAAGAACAGGTAAAATATTTCGGTATGTTCTCGCAGAACTGGTAAGTTTAATAATTCGACCCACTGGCACAATTTTTTCACATAAATAAATCATGAAGACAAAAGTAATTTTTAAAGTATTTTATTTGTTATAATTTACATATGTACATTCAACTTACTTAAAAAATTGCATCGAGAATAAAACTACCAAAACTTGACTAAAACTCCAAGAAAATTCCAATATGAATGATATATTTATTTTATTAATTAATATATTAGCAAAAAACAATGAATCGAAATGTAAACAGCATAGGTAGATACAAAATAAGCAACACATAATTTACCAAATTAAAGGATATAAAAACTAAAATCGATGAAATTGCTGCTGGTCTCTGTTGGCTTACTAAAATGTCAATCCTAGGTGTTAAACCAGTTACAGCAATATGTAGAGCAGGCGCAAGAGCAAGTCGATTTCCATATTTCGTCTAAATAACAATCATAGCTGAAAATATAGTTTCACACAAATAAGTTGAGGAAAAAGGCAATAAAATCTTAAACACCTTTGCATGAAGATTGGGATATTCTGTTGCAGTCTTTATCCAGACCTGATATATATATTTACTGAATCAAACTGTGATTTAAGTCCTAGATCTGCAGATAGTTCAATAAGTTTTGTTTCCTCGACTGTAGTAAGATTGTTATTACTACATATTACTAATATGGCATTATTTGAGACGTCAATTGACTCATCCATTTGGACACCAAACCATTTCGAATTACGAATATCTTGCAGTAGTTGACTTTCCATGTTGTATGATAACTCGCATATTCTTCGTCTGATAGTATCATTGTACAGAGGCAGAGTTTTCATTTTATCTGCAGCAGATTGGCCCAACACTTCACAACACACCTCTATCAAACAAGGTTTGACATGTTCTTCAGCAACTGAGTATGGTTTCTTAGATTTGGCAATACGCAGAGCAGCTGAATACGATGCTTTTAAAAGCGATTTATCAATCAAGAAACATTTTTTTAAAGCATCCTTTTGAATTTTCATCTCCAAACTTTCTCTCTGGAAAATGTCCAGGGATTTCCTTTCCAGTTGTGGGTACTTTGTTTGTAATGCCGCGAAAGCTTGGAAGGTTTCATGCTTTCTTTGGAAAGAACTTTTCTACAAACAACGCATTCAAGTTTTGGACAATTTTCTTCTGATTGTGGCCAAAGGATAAAACCATATTTCAAATAGTCTGCAATATAGTGCCTTACAAAGCTTTTTCTTTTTTTGGCAGATTGTGGACTATATTCACCTTCATCTGTATTCGAAGGGGCAGACGATGTACTTGGTTTTGGAGAATCTTTTCTTCGCACGAAATTTAGTAAAGTGTCTTTCATTTCCTTCTTACTCATCCTGGTTATTTATTTTTAATCTACCTAAAGTTTAAGAAGTTGTATTTATATCACAGTATTAAATTCAGTGGTTATTAAAAAATTACGCTGATGTATAGTTTTCAGTTATCCAAGTATGTAGAAGAATGTAAGCAAGATAAAAAAGCAAAACCTAACCTAAAATGCCTTAAACACTACAATAGCTATTCAGCGTTCAAGTCATCAGCGATACTCAGCAGACAGGGGCACACTAGTTAATGTACTAAGTGTGCGGCATGGCAATTTATGAAAGGAGATGAAGTACATAGTTGCCAGTTTGTTATATTTTTCATCATCGATCATATTATTTTCTAAACTAGTAAACTTGTTATTATAATGTAGGTGCTGTTGTAGATAGCTGGATATTTCGCGTGCCGGCAAATATTTCTTGTGGACCGGCAGTTGAGAAACACTGAACTAGAGGAAATATTAATAGTGAAAAAGTAGGTAAATAAAAATTTCTCTTCATTCAATTACGTACGTTTTTAAATTTGATATGAAATATTAATTATTTTTATTACAGTATTATTCAATAATATTTGTATTCTGCTTTAAATTTTTAACTAGATTTTTCATACTGAGTGGTATTAAAAATTATGTGTTTTACATTTTATTCTGCATTATCCCTGGTATTACTATATCATCTGTTATATGAGTAAAATATCACTTTTATGCCTAGCATCTTATAGATATTTTTACATATAGGAATAAATCGTAAGTATAATTTTATAAAATGTGTATTGTTACAGGCAAAGTTCTTATTGTTACTGACAAGGCATGTCAAACTCAAAATTATCAGTAAACATTTTGAAGAAGAAATAATAAGGATGTTAATGAGTCAATTCCTCTTGTGTATTGAGACTATTGATACAGATATTCATATTTTTTATGTTATAGATTACGAGAAGATTCAAAATACGGATTCTCACCACATATGGATACATCTCCTCTAATGGAACCAGAAGGCCGTCACTTAGTTCAACATTTATCTAGGTATTGTTGCTTATTTTTACATAGGTGTGTAACATATTTTAAATTGTCTAGAAACTACTCTTGGTTTTTGTATATGTTAATTGTAGTGGCTCTGAAATTATTTTAATATTTTTATATCAACTGTTGAGAATACATTGTAGCAAATGACATATCACCATATATTTTAAATAACACTTAAAATAGCAAAATTTTTATATAAGCATTTCATGTGAGGAGATAAAAATCAGCATTTTCGTCATATTTATTTTTGTATTTCACAAAACTTTCAGATGCATACAAAGAGACTTGTGCTGTGTATAGTGATGTTACACTAAGAGAACATGTAGAATTGATTTACAGAAAATCATTCTGGTGAATTTTCGGCTTGACATATATCACATTCTAGTTGACCAACTGATTTTGATGATAATAAAGTAAAAGCATTTATTTAAGCTAATCATCATTTAATTTTATATGAGCTTTCCAAGAGTCAAAATTTGTACAAAACAACAAATGATCATGATTTGAGAAAGGTTAGTTACTGAGTTTGATGTTTTGATTTCACATGATCTTAAAGAAATTCATTTTAACCCAGTGTATCAGCATATATAATTTGCTTTTGAAACATACCCGAAATGAACAAACGTTGAAGCAGTTGATGATGGGTGATGATAAATATAGTATTTACTGTAACACTTAATGTAAAATATCATAATCCAAACCTAAACCAGATGAAACAACATGAAAAACTGATATTTACTAAAAACAGGCCGTATTTTTGACTTAGTGGCATTAATAAGGAATTTTTATTTTGGGATTTTACCAAGAAATAAAGCAATTAGTTCATCATTGCCAAAAACTAAAAGATACTTTACTGTAGAAAAATTCAGTATTGTCAAATTCAGTTATAATAGTGCATCAGTTATAATAGCAAAAGTATTTCATGTGTGTCAAAGATAAACCTGGCTATTAAGGATCTGATTGAATAAAGAAATGTAGCATGATATTTGGCAAAAAACTATGAACCAATTTCATAATGAATACAAGGTCTTTACGAAAATAATAATAATAATAAAAAGACACATGCACAAAATAATTGAACCGGATACTTAAAATAGCTTTCTCAGGATAATAATTCTATCTAGGATACTGTTTTTAATTTTTAAAGTCAGTTCTAAGTTTAAAAGGTGAACAACAGTCCACACTTAAAAGGCCAGAATAGGATTGCGTACACCAAAACTTAGAAATCATTGAAAATCCCAGAAACTGAGTCATTGTGCTTTTCGTTATATCATAAAAGCATCACTGATTCACAAACTAAATGCCTTATTTCCTATTACTTTGCAAACTTACTTTATTGAGCACATTTTTTCCATTATTGTACCATTCACAGACAACATAACTTTAAGAGATCCATCATAACCCTTGAAAGTTGGAGAAAAAAGGTGAGAAAAAATCCTGAGATTGACTGCATGAGTAATGAAATGATAAAGAATATGATAATGTCATGATTGGCCATTTCATGGATATCATTAACCTAACACTGCACATGGCTTATTTCTCATCAGCATGGAAAACAGAAATTATTGTACCGATGTTGAAGGAAAAGTCCCTGAACAACCCAGCTTCATGCCAATTAGTCAGCTGTCTTCCTGGATTCAGAAAGATCACAGAGACAATTATTATATGAAAAGTGTTAGACCCAGAGAGAACATATCATCACAATGCATCGGTATTACTTTTGTCAGAGTTGCCAGCTTCATCTCCAAAGGTGTACAAAATCAGCAATCTACTTATGGTCTTTTCCTTGATATTCTAATGGTCTTCAGTCATGTATGACTGATGACTGAAGGGAATCACCTAGAAATTAATTACTGCAAGATTCCCAGATTCCCAAATTACATCACATATCATAAATTCCTGTCTTTCTGAAAGTTTTGTTGTTCACTTTAAAAGTATATATTGCATACACTGCAAATCAATGGAAGCATTCCTTAGAAGTTTCTGTTAGACCACATTTTATTCCTCATTTACATGAATTAATTAAATTTTTATACTTTACTCTTCCAGCACAACATTAGCAATGTTTGCTGACAATACTGTATTTCTAACCCAAAGTGTGTCTTTGCGTTTTGTAGATCATTTATTGCAGAATCATATAAGTGCACTGAAGTCTTGGCTTTGGTGCTGGAAATAAAATCTACATTGATAAGATGATAGTAGTCATGTTCATTTGATGTCATAACATACTAGAAAATATTAGGATGTACAGTGCTGTTATCTTGTGGACTAAACAGATAAAATACATGTTAGTATAGATCAAAGGTTATATTAAAACCCCATGTCACTTATAATTTCTAAATTCTGGAAGTGAGAAGCCTTTTTTTTTTTTTTTTTTTTTTTTGGTGGTGTGTGTGTGTGTGTGTGTTCTTTTCTTAGATAACATGTTACTTATCTGAAAGATCATTTTGCATGCCAGTATTATCTATATCTGTCCATCTGAGATTTTACTTGTATCACTATCCAAATGATAGAGGAACCAAAATGTGATGCTATGGCAAATTTTTTTATCACTGTGGCTTATTAGGATCATCATGGTCCATGAAGAATTAAGAAGAAAATGTCTTAAGTATTTTCATGCAAAAAATTGCCAAGAAGTTCTTTTAAAATATTTGTACTGCTAATAACACATTGTACCCATTCTTAAATTATGATTAGTACCATGAAAATAAGACATTCCCCAAAAGTAATCCTAAGAGTTTTAGTAATTCCATTGATTTTCATTTCATTTTCTGAAATCTCTTCCATGTTTTGACTTATGGTATTTTAAATTGTATGGTTTTATGAAACAGCCTTCTGCCCTCCACTTCTGTGCAAAACATACCTGCTTTCTACTTTTAACCCATTACTAAGCTTTCTTGCAACTTGACAATAAATTGCTTTCCTGTATCCACATTAACTTCTAGACTAGATTTCATTTCCCAGCCATCCTTTCTCCATGGCCTGCGGCCACCTAGTTCAATAAACAAACTCTTCATCAGGTAAAATCTTCATTTCAGATAAGTGTCAAATCTGACTTTAAAAATAATTTTGCTACAACAGATCAGAATTCTTTGAAGGGAAATCAAGAAATTGCCTAAAAGATAGCAAATGATTTACTGTACCAAATGACCAATACATTATTATTTACCATCAGAATAAACATATAATAAAGTTTTGAAATAGTGGTACTTTAATTTATGCTTTTTTTCATATCAAAATAAGTAAGCTTCATAGTGTTTGCATTCCTACTTCTGCATTTTAATGCAAATAAAAATCAGTGACTTAGCATCGCATGTTTTATATAGCTTTGCGCACTTTAAAAAATGTATTTTTGCATTTTAAGCATAATTATTGATAAATCATCATAAATATACATTTAATTAATTATATGAAAATTTTAAAGTTTAGAAAACATTAAAAGTTAATAAATTATAACTAAAATTTGTAAATGAATATGTTTAAGATCTTTAAAATAAATTCATCTCTGTGAAAACTTTAAAGTACGTTAAAATATTTTAAATAAATGGCGAGAAGAAATTAAAATTTTGCATAGTTATTATTGATGATTCCTTAAAAGCACATTACTGCACTTATAAGAAATTATCAACAGTTATTTTATCTTTTATGTTACAGTTTTTTCCCCTTATCACATACTATACACCTTTAAGATAGTTAAAAAAAAAAAAAAAAAAAAAAAAAAAAGCAGATGCATTACCCGCTTTTCTTTCTAAAAAACTGAATAGTTAAGTTAATGAAGCAAAATATTGTTTGAAAATGAAAAAAATATTTAGGTTTAGATATATTAATGATATCAAATGGATGCCAGTGTAAAATTTAAAATGTAGATTTTTAAGTAAAGCTGTTAATTTTATATGAAATTTATCTTCTTTAGGTAATTACATTAATTCCAGTCCAATAATTTGAACTATTTACGAGTTTCAATGTCTTAATTTTTTTATGTTTCATTTTGATAAGACAGCATTACGTTTGTGTTTGCTTTGCTTTTGATATAAATACAGTGCAAATTCCAAAGTCTCGATGTCCAATATCAAAAACAATCTAAAATGTGAACCTCCAAACTACAAGCAACTTTTTTTAAAGTTTTTATTTTTCATAATGAAACATGGAGAGTCCCAATTCATAATTTCACATAATTAAATAAAATACCTCCATAAAGAAACAATAATTTATTAGCATAAATGTGTATTGATCAATAATTTGACTCTGTACCCACCCTTTTACTTGACATACATCTCAAACTAAAACACTCTACATCGAAATGTCATTAATTTTACACTTATTGAATAATTTATATGCCTGATGCTAGTATAGCAGATCATTAATTATTATGTTACGCTTTCATCACCATATAACTATCAATACATAGCAGCTTGAGAAATGACTCATGCAACTATGTCTAAACTTATATATATATATATTAGTATATCGAAGAGCAATGCCAAATATTGAATACCAAAGAGCATGATAACCTTTTATGCTGACATTATGCTTGGCGATGAATGTAGACTTCAGCTTGCAAAGTGTTGAAGTTGGTGGGAAAAAATTTGACAGAAATTTCTTTCCATATGTTATCATACTCATAGGCCAGGAAATTACATATAGTATTATCTGAATTGAGATTAACTGATTTGTTATGCAGCTAAGCCCATGACCAGCGTCAGAAATTAGGGAGCCAAAATTTTTAGAATTTAGAGAAGCAACAAAATTAGGGGCTAGCAAAATCTTTAGAGTTTAGAATGAAAAATTTTTAGAATTTAGGAAGGCACTTGACAGCAGAATTTAGAACCCACAAAAACTAAACCAGGCCTCGTCTAGCAACAGTTCTGGGTAACCCTTAAGTATATGCACGGATTTATTTATCCAGGGCTCAGATGCAAATTAAGCATGTACAGGAAATAGATGTAAGTATAATAAATAACTAATATAATTCATGCTTATCTTTATCAGCATATGGTAGA